TTTTTTTTTTTTTTTTTTTTTTTATTCTGTGTCTGAAATATTTTGGGTAGTCACCCTTTGTTCAGGCTGGAGCATCACAGTTAGCTAACTTCATTTACAACAGTTTATATGCTTACTCAGTGAGTGTACAAACCTTTCCTAGGCAAATAGAAAAACTTGGACTGATTTGAGAGAGATGTGAAATGAAGTCCCAGACTTAGAAGAGTGTTTTAGTGGAAAAAATGCATACAATGATTACTTGTGGATTCCCGCTCCAAGTAACTTGATCTTCCTGGTGCTCTTAGTCCTGCATTGTACAGCCATATCTTTGCCCTCCTCATCTCTTTTTGGATGTCCACAATTCCTCAGAAACTGTTCTTTACCCATACCAGTTCACAGTTGTGAGCACCCTCCTGGGTTCGAGGACCCTGACTGTTACAGAACCTTGTTGTGTGTAACAGTATCAGTGTTCACATGTCTGCGTRTTGTCACCTCAGGTTATATGTGTGTGTTCACCTCTCCAGCCACTAAAGAAATCCCTGTTGCATGATACTACAGTCTACTTACCCTTGGGAAAAGTTTCCAGGGTTTTCAGTGGCAAACACTGAGGCAAATACTCAAATCAGTGCTCTCAGTAAGACAATTCAACCTCTGCATTAACATGTAATAAATTCACACACCCTCTTTGTTACCTGGGTCACTCCACTGCCTTAGATATCCATATGTAAATAAGACATATTGCACACCACCTAGTCTGTAAAATAAAGAGTGATTTGTTTTATTGAGTCCACTCCACCTAAGGGAACAGTGGCCAAAGACAAATCTTGCTGGGAGAAGTTAAGGCTGTCCATCATTATTATCATTGCCATAATATTCACAAGTCCTACCCAGGACTGATGATAGATAAAGAATGTGAAGGTGACTCTCACCCCAAAGAACCTATAATTTAGGAAAACAAGGGGTAAAGGATTGCAAGAAAGTAGCACATTCTGTTTCAAAGCTTTTGAGATGGGTGCAGGTTTTCAAAAACAAGAGAGTAGTGGCAGAAATGGCCTGACGAAGGCCCTGAAGAAAGCAACAGGTTTTGGCTGTTTTGAGCTGGGAGGAGATATGCAGAGGGCAGTACTCCAGGTGGATGCTTGTCAGTCTGGATTACAGARGTAATGGAAGGAAGAGGCAACATTTTGAGCTTGTGGTGGTGGTTAGAAAGAGTAGTTACACAAGTGGATGTGTAGAAGAGCTCCAGAAGGGCAGCAYAGCATGAGGGGCTTGGGATCAAATGGAGCACATGCTGGTAATGGAGAGGTGAGGGGAAGTAGCACTGTGACTGACAGGCAGTAACATGACCTTACCTTCAATGAAAAGCAGTGTTTCACACTTATTTCACAATAAGAGACCTATCCCTGAAAAAATGCTTCAAACCCAGCCTTTTTTTTTTTTTTCACCAGCTGTTGATGTGAAATAGCCATGAATTAATTTGAGGTGTCCAAGGCTGTAGTGTTTATTTACCATTAGGGTGAGATTTTCCATTGAGTTATCTGGTCTCTGCTGTTCCACATGTTTCTGTGCAGATCTCCCACTGACTTTCTCTATATCACATATTAGTTGAGAACACCAGTGCACTTTTTATGAAGGCTGAATCAACTGCAAGTATGTCTCTGGAGCAGGTGACTCTCTACTTAGATTCCACTTTGCAGTAATTCATACAGTATAAATTAATTCACCCTTAATCTAATTCTGCATGCACTCAAGAGCATTATCTTTCTCCTGCTGGCAGCATTGTTGGTTTTGRTACAGAAATAATTTGAGGGTTTACTTGCACTGTGAAACTGCTACCAAGCTTCCTCGGCCATCCTCATTTATTGTGCAAGATTAATACTGAAACAGCTTCACACTCTTTGTCACAGTACTAAAGAGCAGTTATGCAGGTTAATCAGCTAACTGGACMGTGAAGAATTAGGCAGTGACCATGGAGGCAATAGTAATATTCAGTAAGGTACTTGTAATCACTTCAGCCACTACCAGCTGTGGGAAGAAGAGAGTCTGGATCTTGCTTTTCTTTGGATTTATCAGTAATCTCTCATGTCTGCTTGCTTTGCTATCTAAAAAAAAAAGGTCATCAAAAGGAGCTGGATCCTTCAGACTTGAAGAAATCTCATTCTGAAGCAGTGGTACTGCCTTGGGTGAGAGAAATAATTGTGTGAATTTTCAGCAGCATGCTCAGAAGCATGGAAATTC